AAGATTGCAAATGCTTAGCAAGATTGCAAATCAATTCATCCTTATTTGCTTAGCAATAGATTTTTTATGGTCAAATAAATAAATATCATAAGTAATTATCCAAATAGCTGATGAAGAATTAAAATTACGGAAAATTCATTGTCAATTAAATTGAATGAATTAAATGAATTAAATTAAACTTACTGACTTGAACTGAATGCAACCAAATGAACTGAATAAGTAAATTACGCTAAATCGAACTAAATGAACTAAATGAGCTAAATTAAATTTCTATACTAATTAAATTCGTGGACCAAGTAACACGAATTAAATAAAATGAACTGAATGAAACAAAACATGAGCTATATTTTTTCATGAAATTAAATGTTTATAGTAGTAAATCAAAAAGAAAAAAAGATCTGTTCTATAAATAAGTAATTAAGCAAAGCAAGAAAAAAAACAAAATTTTCAATTGAACATTTAAAAAATTCGCCTTAAAATTACTGAAAAAAAATTCAATTTTCATTAAAATTTTTAATAGGAAATGAACAGCAACAGATAATAAATGCGATGATAAATTGATTGCAATTATCAAAATGAAGTAATCATATATTTATGCAAAAAAATACGAATAAATGAAGAAAAAAAATGGAATATTATTATGTAATTTGTGAAAAGATTAAGTGAAGCGATTAAAATTGGTTGGTAATAAAATAAAAATTTTTTTTAAAGAAAGAAAAATTGCGTAAAATCTTATGGTTCACTTTTTTTTGGCCATTATGAATAGTAATTTTCTTCAATGATAGTCCTAAAAATATAATTCTGTTTTTTCTAATGTTTTTCAAAGTTTTCTTTTTTTTAAACGAAAAAAATTAATTAATAAAAAAGATTTTGTGGAAAATTAATATTGTTTGAAAACTTTTTTTCGAATTTTTTTTACACATCTTTTTTTTCAAATAACTAGAAAGAAGAATACTGTAAGGATTATATTATGCGAATCCGTAAATTCGATACTTCAATAATTAGAATGAGTAGCGTTTATTTTTCTTTTTATTTTAGGAAACCCAGAAATTTGCATTTTAATATTGGATTTGAAAAAGCTACCAAAGAATTCGTTTACAAATGAATTTTCTATTAAGAAGGGAAACTGAGTAATTTTTCTTCGAAAAAATATATTATGTAATACTAGAAAGTGAAAAAAAGATTTGCAAAATGTTCCGAAAACTCCAAAAAATGAGAAAAGAAAATTTCAAATTACTCAATTTACTTAACTATTCGAAATTTATTTTTAGAAAGAATCTTAGTAGCTGTAAAATTTTCAAATTCATTTGAATTGATTTGTTTTGTTAATTAGTCTCTAAGATTATTATTTGATTAAAAAAAAAGAAGAAAAAATGAAGAATAAAATTCTATCCTTTAGAAGTAATGAAAGAAAATACTGATTGAATCATTTAAGAAAATTTAAATTGTCTATAAAGCTGGCAGACCAGACTGTTTAAACCATTACATTGTTTGAGCAACATCAACATTAGAATTATATAAGCGTCCACTTTTGCTCCTTAATCAAATTTTTTATTGAAATTTAAATCATATTGGACAATACTGCAACCTCCATTGGTTTTAAAAGCAATGAAATTACCAGAAAGGAAAATATTTCCGGTATCGAGCATTGAACTGAGTGTCAAGCATTGAACTTCTTTTGGCTAAACTATTTTGCATCTAAAACGATTTAATGATTCTTTTCAACAGAGATATATTCACTGCCTTTTTTGGGAAAAGATGAAAGAGAAAAGTCGAAACTCCCAATTTTGATCAGACCTATTTCAACATTGAATCTATTTAAATATTGTGATGAACAAATTTCTACAACACATCTAACAAAAAAAAAAATACAAAATATTTGGATGAGAATTTTTATGTTTATTCGCTAGTAAGCAGCATAATTTTGACCAAAATAGTCTAAAAATTAAGGATTTTTTAAAAATTCATATTAATCCAAAACATTTGGATGAGAATTTTTATATGTGTTCGCTAGTGCACAACATGATCAGTGATCTTTGATAGCAATCAATATATCAGGTCGATTCGCAAGTGTTGACATGCGTTGATCGTGTAGAATTGTTTGCTTTTAATACTAGTTGAACTGGATGCGGTTGTTTTTATTCGACGAGTACCACTACTTTTGGAACTACTCCTGATAGTAATGTTTATACTACTGTTATTTACCTTAAAACCTGTAGTATTGAAACTTCTACATTGGAGCTATTACATTGAAATTTCTCAGATCTGTCAACGATATGGAACTTTCATTGAATGCAAATCAACTGTTGGGCAACTCATTGGTGTGAGCTCAAAA